CAACCCGAATAGGCACTGTCATTCTCCCCATTTTCCAGATGAGGGAACTGCGGCCCAGAGACGTTAAAACACTTACCTGAGGGCACACAGCTCTAAAGTGCTGCAGCTCTGAGGCTTCTAGAAGAGGCTGCTTCAGAAGTCCCACACGGGCCCATGTTTAGCTCCTGGTGCCAGCTGTGAAATCTCCAAGTCCTTGTCACATGGGAACATGGAAAGAGGAGCCGTTTGGAGGGGGAGAGGCACACTCCCAGTTCGGAGTCAGAGCTACCATCTCAGCAACCACTCCTCCTGGATTTGTCCAGAAGACACCCCGTGTGTGGGTTCCTGTGGGAAAGACCCACTGAAAACTGACCTAAACTATCCAGGGCAGGTACTGGCTCACAAAATTGGCAAGTTCAGGAGAAGGGCTGGCTCAGGGCCGGCTGGGACCAAGTGCTCCAAAGGGACCAAGTAGCACTCCTGAGAGTGCTACTCTCAGGAAGCTCACACTCACCATCTTTCAACTCTCTCCTGTGTTGGCTTCGTTTTCAGGCAGGCTTCTCCCCACCTTGGAGCAAAGGGGGCCCCAGGAGCTCCATTTAACACTCCAGCAGAACTCTTGCCCAACAGTTCCCGCAAAAAATCCCAGGGCTGACTCTCATTGGGCCACTTTTGGTCATGTGACCACCCTGGAACCAACTGCTGTCACTAGGGGGAGGGACCTAGACCTGGGTCACATGGCCATCCATGGGACTGAGAGTGAGTGAGGGGGCCCTCTACTGGAAGAAGTAGGGAATGCAACTGGCAAAGGGAGCTGGTGTCTACTCTCAGCTGCAGGAAAACATGCATCTCTCACCCAGAGGGCGTGGGTAGACTTGGTGTTTAAGACTTGGTACAGTCCCCCCTGAAACCAGCCCCTGACCTCCATGGCACTTGTTGAGGTGATCCAGAACTCAGACTTGCACAAGAGCTTTCGCTAACTGCCTCCCCAGCCCACCTGTCCCCGTCCCACCTGTCTGCAGTCTATTGCCGCACATGACCTCGGGCACACAGCCCCTCCAGCCAACACCCCGCCTCCTGCTTGGCCTACTGCCCCAGTTCCCTGGTTGTCCTGCCCACCTCCAGGCTGGCCTTTTCCAATCCATGCCATACTGGCAGCCCTGCCCTCAGTCCAGCAGAGCGCTGGCTCAGAAACCTCAGCCACTCCTTATCAACAAGGACAAACAAGCTTCTTGGCCCCGTGCGGGACTTCCTCCACATCCTAACCACACCATCAAAATGCCGCTCTCCCATAATTCCTCGCAAACTGCCAGACACCCTAGTGCACCAGCTGGCTCACTTCTCTGCCCCAAGGAAAAGGGTCAAGCTCGAGTCACTGCTGACCAGGGCTCAGCACATACATGGTGCTCTACGGATGCCTGGAAAACCTGCAGAACTGACTGCTCCTCCGTGGAGGGAGAGGAAGTCAGACAGCTCCAGACAGACAGACAGACAGACAGACGGCTGAAAAAGCCAGAGAAGCCAAGAGAAACACAGAGAACCTGAAACAGAACGACTGGGAGACAGCGGTCTGGGGGTGGGGGAAAACGACAGAGAGGGGGCGATGCATAGGAAGGGACCTTCATCAGGGCTGTGACGCAGGGAGCAGGCACTCAGGGAGGGCAGGGAAGGGGAGAGGGGAGGGGGCACCGGCTAACGTGTTTTTGTTGCTAAGCAAACAGGCCCCTGTGACCGGCGTTCTGTCCAGCTGAACTTTCCACATCAGGAGTTTATTTTGCTGAGCAACCAGTCCTGGTGAAAACACGGGAAGGTGTTAGAGAGGAGAGGGGTGGGGAGCAGAGAGGCAGGCAAACAAGGAGGGAACATTCGCCTCCCCTTTCCTTATCTCTGTTCCCCCAGGGCCCGGTTGGCAGGTGCAAGAGGAAGTGAGGCTGGATTGAGAAAAATAATTCAGGGAGGAAGTCTGAGCTGAGAGGGAAAGGCCCGAGCCACTGGGAGGGGAAAGGTGCCCGGAAGGTTCTGGTTCTGGTTCTGCTCTGAGCCCGTCACCAGGTGGTGAGTTAAGACAGGTCAGGACAACCCACCTGTGATGTGGCCTAACCTCCGAGTCCCTGCCATGGGCCACAGCGTCCAAAGCCAGGGACAGGGTCCTCAGTCAGGACCCAGGTTGGGGGGGTGGGGGGGGCTGGGGCGGTGTGTGCAGGCAGGTGTGGCTTCTAAACTGGGGCTCTGATTGGCTGCATGACTCATGCATGAGACAGTCCTGATGTTGCCTCCCCGAGGTAGGGTGGCCTCAACACCTGCCCACAGCACCCCCTGGTGCCTAATGATGGCAGCTGGCACAACCGTGGGAGACCCCAGATCCTGTGTGCAAGGAGCTTACGGTGTCCTGTTTCCACGTCAGGGCTGCACAGCCATGCGGGAGGCCAGAGCAGGGGCTGAGGGACATTCTCACCATCAATTGGATTTTACTCTTTATTACAATGTTACCAAAACCACACGGTGTTGTCCGTGATCCGAATTTTTTTATTTTTACTTTCTGAAATGGAACCATTGTACATTGTACAAACCATATCTACTGATGGAATAAATAAGTGAAAAATTATACTGCTGTACAACACACCGAAAAAAAAAATCGTAAGAGAAAACAACAACAAAAAATCAGGTAACGTGAAAAAAAGGTCTTTATACCTCTAACCAGGTCCTTGGGGGTAATGAATGTGCCAAGCCACGACGCCGGTGGAAATGGGAGGTCACCACCCGCAGCGTCAGCCGACTGCCTTCCAGGGTAAGGGTGTAAGTGCCAGCACTTTGTGGAATGTGTAGCCACAGCTTCCCCAGCTTCTGGGGGATCGGGTTTGCCCTGGGAGCCCTTTAGGCCATGGGGCCTGGTGTCCGCGGAAGGCATTCGCTTAGGGCCCCGTCCTGGCTGGGCCAGCTGCCAAGGTGGGAGGGGGCGTGGCGCGGGGTGGGCAGGGGGACAGCGGCTCCGGGGAGCGGGCTGCTGGGAAGGAAGCACATCTGGATTTTGCAGTCTCCTCTGGACCAGCGTCAAATGCGGGGCTCGCTGGCACGTCGCCTGGCGTGGCCGTGGCCGCGGTGGGGCCAGGTGGCTCCCAGGCCGCCGGCCCACCCCTACCTTCAGGCACTTCAGAGAAAAACGAATGACCGCCTCGGTGTCGTGGACGGCGTCCTCATTCCCCACCATGTGGACTCGCCTGGCCTGTCCGCGGGGCCGGCAGGGGGCGCAGGGGACCCTGGCCGATGGACATGCGTGTGCAAGTGTGTGCGTGACTTTCCTTCAGCTGTCTTGGTCATCACCTCTCGGTTCCCCAAAAAAAGAGCAGGAAATAAACATCCCGATTCGTCTTTCATCAAAATGGAGTTTTGCTGCAAAGGAAAGGGTGATTCAAACCCTTCAGGATCTGGAGGTAAAGCCGCCTGGAGTGCTGAGAGGTAACGGGGAGAAGGAGCAGCCGTTCTGCGTCCTGCGGAGCACTGACCGCCCGAGGGCGGGAAACTGATAAGATTTTTTTTTTTTTTTAAGACAGAAACCTTTCGGCCACCACCGCTCACTTCAACATTGAGATCTCCAGAGTTCGCGTGTTTGTTTCCCCTGATCTCAGGAGACGTTTTTGCATGAGGTATTTGAGATTCAGGAACATTTTGCTTCTTCTTAAAGAGCAGGAAATGGATGGGCTCCCTTACAAAAAAAAAACGCAAGTAAGAGCCCCACCCTCAGAAACTCTTAGAAAGTGGAATCTGGCAGATGCTTCCCACGGTGGTCAGGAGAGCGATCCCCACTGATCCCCACGTCAAAGGTGGTACCTGAATATGCACCAGTTAGCAAAATAAAACAAAACAGAAAACAACCAACAAAACCTCGCAACCCTTCCCCCCCACCCGCCCCCCACCACCACACACAGCTCAAAGGGAGTTGGAACTCCAGTGCAGGAAAGAAAGCTTGGGAACAGGGCTGGGGGCTGAGGAGTCCATAGAGGAACGAAGAGCAACCAGGCCTCAGAACCAAGCACTCGGGCAGCTGGTCCAAGGGGGCAGCTTCATTTTAGTGAGAAGCAGCTGCCCCAGGCGGGCAGGGATGGAGGCAGGGATTCGATCGCCCCTTCTTGGAGGGCAAAGCTTTCCAGCTCCTTGGTGCCTCCCTTCTGGCCTTCAAGGCTGAACCGTCAAGGCCCGCTCCTTGGGGGGACCGACCGCAGGGTACCCTGGGAATAAGACAGGATCCGCCTGTTGGCTTGGTGGTGTCAGGAACATTATGCAGAAGCAAGCGGGTTTCCTGGATTGCAATCTTGACCCCCTTCCCCCGGGTGGGGCTTAGAGGGCCTGGGGGAGGCAGAGGGCAGCAGATTACTGTGGATTTGAAATCCTTTGAGAGCACCAGCTACTCCTGCCGCCTGCTCCCGGCCTCCGCGGCCTTTCTGTCACCTCGAGACGATCCTGCAGTCAGCCACAGAAGCCACCCCGTCTTCGGAGGCGTGGGAGGAGGCGGTATGGTGGGGGCAGAGGGTGGAAGTGGCAGAATGATCTAGGGGCTCTGTGTGTCCATTTGGGCCACTTGGAAACGCCAGGTTCAGATGTCCCGAGGAAGTGAGCGTATCGGGTGGCCAGAGCTCGGGGACAGTGCCCTGACACCTGAGACTCCTCGGACCAGACCGTGGAGGCTGGGCAGGTGGCCGAAGGTCCTACTCCTCTGCAGCCCCGGGCTCTCCCCGTCCCTGCCTGCTCTGTTCCCACTGAAGTCCTGGTACAGGGAGGAGTGTGACATGAGGGCCGGCTGGCCGGGGCAGTGGCAGCCTCAACAAAGCCGAGAGGGCGCTTTGCAAAGGGAGATGCAAAACAACTGGGAAAACATGCCGGAGGTCACCTCAAGGGCACAAGGCACACAAAAAGAAAGCGGGAGGAGTCGGTGGGACAGTGAAAAGCCCCGAAACGTGAATTCCTGATGGGCACCACCCTCAGATAGCTTATGTCGTTAGAGAGAGAAGTGGGGCGAAAAACAATACAGCAGCAACGCAAATGTAATCTTGGCTTCAGAGACAGTGTCTGACACTCCTGAGCTGTCGACCCACCTCCACAAGGACAGTCACTTCAAGATTCGAGGGTTTTGCTTCACAGCAGAAAGTTCTTCAGTGTCTGAGAAGTCACGCCGTTCTAGGTTCTCTTGGATCTGCACTTGGTAAACTTGGGAAAGTCAGTCGTTCTAACCCGAGGACTCACTCGGGGAAGTCGTAGACGTAAGCCTGCTGATGGATCTCCCGGGACACGCGGACCGGAGCCTGAGCCCCGAACGTCTACATCTCTTCGGAGTTTTGTTGCGACGTCTCCAGTTTCATCTTTTTAGAGGGCGGCCCTCCTTCCAAATCCTTAGGGGAAGAGGAAGGAAAGAGAACAGCAGGTTAACAGGCCAGGAGATCCGTTCAGGGCAGCCGGGAGGTTCAAGGTCAGCCCAGGAAGGAACTGAGGACAGGACCCGATGGCCGGTGAGCATGGATTTCGGGAGGTTCACACACCTGCAGGGAACCTCAAACCCAAACTCCTCCTGGGTCTCCCGAACCGCAAGTTGCCTCGGTCCTGCTTGTCCCGGTCACACTGACCTCCCTCTGTGCCCTCCCCCGGTGCCCCTAAGGTCTCCCTCAGTCCACCCCTCCCGGAGTAGGTGTCCCCTCATTATCCGTCCTCCAACCTGTGAGTAACCGCCAGGGTGATTCTGAAGTTCACGTCTCCGAGCTCCGCGCCTAGACCAGCCTGGCCATGCTAACAATTGCTCCTTGGGGCCCAGCACGGGTGCCCGGCCCAGGCGAGCACTCGGCATTGGTTAAGTGTGCCCAGGTATGTTGCCATGGGGAGAGAGAGGGTCTGTGGTTGTCACCAAATTCCCAAGAGTCCCTGACTCAAAAACAGGTTCAACGGTCGCTCTCCCACCTCCTGCCTTGACGGTCCCACTCCATCTCCAACCTCACCTGTCACTTGAGATCAACTTTTTTTAAAAAAATGGAATTTATTGGGGTGACACTGGTTAATAAAATTATAGAGGGTTCAGGGGTACAATTCTATAAGACATCATCTGTATATTGCATTTGTGTTCACCACCTGAGACCAGTATTTTGTTTGTTTGTTTGTTTTTAATTTCAAAGAGGAAGGGAGAGGGAGAGAAACTTCAACGACGACAGAGAATCATTGATCGGCTGCCTCCTGCACGCCTCCTACTGGGGATCGAACCTGCAACCCAGGCATGTGCCCTGACCAGGAATGGAACCATGACCTCCTGGTTCATAAGTCAACACTCAACCAGTGAGCCACACGGGCCGGGCACCAACTCTTGACTTCGCCCATCCCCTACCTGTTGGGGGTGCTGACATCTTCCTGGGATAAAGGGGGATGATGCCCGGGAGTCCCCCCTTTCTCTCCACACTCCCACACCCAGCCTAACAGCAAGTCCCATCAACTCTATCTCCAAAGACCCTTGAGCCCGCCCGCCTCTCCCTCTGCCTAGCGCCCTGTCCACACCTGAGCTGCCACCAGCTCTCGCCCGAATGACAGCTTCCCTACACAGCCTTCGACACAGCCTAGGAGCTCCTCTCAAAACAGAAATCAGCCCAGCCAATGAGGCCCAGTGGCTGAGCGTGGACCTTAGGAACCAGAGGTTACGGTCCCATTCCCGGTCAGGCTCCATCCCCAGGAGGGGGCGTTTAGGAGGCAGCCGACCAGTGATTCTTTCTCACCATTGATGTTGCTATCGCTCTCTCCCTTCCTCTCTGAAATTAACAAAACTACATTTAAAAGAATAAAAATAAAACAGTAACGGCTAAACTTCCAGATCAAGCTGTTTGCTTCACTGCAACGCTTCCTCCGTCCTGCTCGCAAGCCTGGCAGCCCTGCGGGCGAGGATGCCGTGTGGGCACGAAAACGGTGGAGGGGGCCCCAGTTCAGGACTGGGCCCCTGGGGATGGGAGTGGGGGTGACAGGAAAGACCCCTGTACTGTTCAGACATCGGGGGAGTAGGGGTCAGGCCCCAGCACTCGATGCTCCCCCCCCAACCCCCAGAGAGTGAGTCTGTATTTAAAAATGACCTTCCCTCCACTGAGTTCAAGAGGTCAGCAGACCCCGGCGGACACTGTGGTTTCACAAACTATACAAGAGGCTTTGAAGGTGATTTTTCATCAGTGAGCTCATGGTAGGCCTGAGACCCTGTGACCTGCTTTTCTCAGTTCACATGGTGAGACTATTTCTTCATTCTTCCTCTGTACCTGGGTCAATCGTGCCCGCCCGCCACCCCCACCCTGCCTTTTAATTTTTTTTAAATCTTCGCCCAAGGATATTTTTCCATTGGTTTTTAGGGCCCGGGCCGGGGAGGAGCCTGCAACCAAGGTACATGCCCTTGACAGGGATCAAACCCGGGACTCTTCAGCCCTCAGGCTTCAGATAGAGGAAGGAAGAGGGAGAGAGAGAAACATCAATGATGAATCATTGATCGGCTGCCCCTGCACGCCCTCTACTGGGGATCCAGCCCACGACCCAGGCATGTACCCCAACTGGAATTGAACCCTGAGCTCCTGGTTCATGGGTCGATGCTTAAACATCAAGCCATGCTGGCTGGCTTCAACTGTGCCCTTTTTATTTTTACTTATTTTTTTAAATATATTTTTATTGATTTCAGAGAGGAAGGGAGAGGGGGAGAGAGACAGAAACATCAATGATGAGAAAGAATCATTGATTGGCTGCCTCCTGCACACCCCCTATTGGGGATCGAGCCTGCAACCCAGGCATGTGCCCTTGACTGGAATTGAACCCGGGACCCTCCAGTCCATAGAGAGAGGCTCTATCCACTGAGCCAAACTGGCTAGGGCGGTGCCCTTTTTAACAACTGTATGCCAGACTGTTTTATACGACCCTAGATTTATTTAAATTGATCCCTTTAGACCAGGGGTCCTCAAACTTTTTAAACAGGGGGCCAGTTCACTGTCCCTCAGACCGTTGGAGGGCCGGACTATAGTTAAAAAAAAAACAAAACTATGAACAAATTCCTATGCACACTGCACATATCTTATTTTGAAGTAAAAAAACAAAACGGGAACAAAGACAATATTTGTATTTGCATGTGGCCCGCGGGCCGTAGTTTGAGGACCCCTGCTGTAGACGAACTTCTGCCACTGCAAACATCTTCCATCCACACTCGCTCTAGGCCTCTGGGCGTTTGGAGGGTGTCCTATAGCACGAAGGGGAGGTGCACACCCAAGGGTGCGTAGATGCTCGAGTCTGAGAGGAGCGTCCCCTGGGAAGGCCTGGTTCAAGACTGCACACCATGCAGACCAGGTCCTGCCCTTTCCCTCGTTTCTGCGGCTACGCGTCAGTTCATCCCCAGGTGCTGGAAACGATTCAGCACCGTGGCAACGGTTTTATCCGTTGACGCTGGGATACCACTGAGTCCCCCTTCTTTTAAATGAGCACAGAGGGTTGACAGTGAGAGGCATCACGGTCGCCGAGGCAACACGGAGGCATCTTCTGTGTCCAGCTCCACTGTGTGTTACCCACGTTCTCTCATCTCATCAAACCCCAGCCCCAAGGCAGCTCTGCGACCCCATTTTGGCAGCTGGAGACACTGAAGCTGACGTCTGTGTGTGCTGACAGAGCTGGGACTCGCACCCGGGACGTTTGCTCCTATCCCCCGGGCCACCTGCTTCTGCACCGATTCAGACCAGATTCTGACCAACCGTGATGACCCAGAGAGGAGTCTGGGCATGGGGGGCATGCTCAGTTGCAAAATATTTTCAAAGATTATTTTATCCAGCGCTGAGGATTCTGAAGACTCATCTCCCCAGCGCTAAAGGCAGGTGACTGGATCACTGAGAGCAGGCACTGCTTTTGTGGAAACAAAGTGAGGAAGCTGAGGACCCTTCCTCTTCCTACCCCTGCCCCGTGTCTCGCCCTTCACCGCAGCCCCCGCGCCCAGGGCGGGACACAGCGGGGCGCTCACGAAGGCACGAAAGTTCCAATCATCCAACAAGAAAGGCAAAACAAAATAACAAAACACCTTTCAACGCACCCCCGGCACCCTAACGGGCGCCCGGCCGACCTGGCTGCCCCTCTGAGGCCTGGCCCGGGGTACCTGAGAGATGGAGGGCGTCTCTGCCGCTAGAGCCGCTTCTCCAGATGGCGGCCGTTCGGCTTTCTCTGAGCTGTTCACGGCGTTTTCCACGGAAGACTGCGAGTTCTGCTCGTCAGAAGCATCTGAGGGTAAAGCAAGACGGCAGAAGCTGTTTTCAGACACGTGATTTGCGGGGCCAGATGGAACAATTACTAAAAATACCTGGGAACGGGGTAGTTTGGTGGCTCGGCGGTCTGTCAGGGCTACCGTACGCTGGGAGGGTTGGGGAGACTCTGGCTTATTTTTTAGAGATGCTTTAAGCATCCAGGCCACCTGCAGGCCCTGTAACCTCCAACCCTTTCCTGCACACCCATTACCTGCCAAATGTCCCTAGAGGGCACCTAAAAAAAAAAAAAAAAAAAAAAAGGCAGCTACAGGCTGTGCCGCGTGCAGCCGGCGCCCTCTGCTGGCCACAGCGCGCTCCAACCACCATGGCTGCGGACTCCTCCCTCTTCCCAGCACAGAGCCCGCATTCTCCACCGGGGAGCACACGCAGAGGGGACTGCCCCCTGGTAAACATTTCTCTTAATAATATGGGTATTTTCTTTTTCTGATCGTCAGAGCCATGACTGAGCTTTGCAAGAAGCAGAAAATACAGGAAAAAAAAACCCTAGTTGAAATCGCCAATGATTTCACACCACCCACAGCCACCACCACCTCAGCACCATTTTAGAGGACCTAGTCCCATTTTCCCAGATGTTTGCCCCTGCATGCACATGATGCTCCCCTCTCCCCGAATGGGGCTCACACAGCATTGTGGGAGATTTGCCATGCCTGTAAAAATTCTCTAAGTACAAGAGCATGCAAGATGGCTGCATGGCATTCTGTCACCAATTGCTTATTTCATGAATCCTGTTTCGCCCGTTATTTGGGCTCTTTCTTATGCGTTAGTCTCCCTGCTCCCCAACCACGTCCCTTTAGCAGAAGGAAGGTGCAGGACATAGCAGGTTGTGGTGCGGCTTTGGAGGAAGAGGTGCCTGCTCTGCCTGAAGCTTATTTGGGGCATAAAGCAGGAGAGCTCATGAGAGGGGGAGGGGGTACACAGCACCAACATTCCCCCCCCCCGCCCCCCAGTCCCACTCTGCTGGCTCTCAGGGTCCCAGTAACATGTCACCTGGCTTTTTAAAAGTACACTAAAAGAGCCCGGCAGGTGTGCCTCAGTGGTTGAGCATCAACCTATGAACCAGGAGGTCACAGCTCAATTCCTGGTCAGGGCACATGCCCGGGGCTCGGGCTCGATCCCCAGAAGGGGGCATGCAGGAGGCAGCTGATCAATGACTCTCTACCATCATTGTTCTCTCTCTCTCCCTCTCCCTTCCTCTCTGAAATCAATAAAAATATATATTTAAAAGAAAAAATCCACACTCATGTTATATTTTATTTCATAACTAGAGGCCCAGTGCACAAATTCGTGCAGCTGGGGGGGGGGTCTGGCCAGCCCAGCCCCAATCAGCGGATCGGGGCGGGCCTGTCGGGAGGAGGAGACGGCGGTCAGGGCTGGGCTGGCTGGGGGGAGGGGTCGCAGGTGGTTGGCCGACCAGCCCCACCCCCTATTGGGGTGGGGGGTGATCAGGGGTGGGGCTGGCTGGGGGGTGGGGCTGGGGGCCGATCGGGGTGGTGGGGGCTCATCGGGGGTGGGGCCAGCTGGAGGGAGGGGCTGCAAGAGGTTGGCCGGGGGGCCTTACCCCCAGATGGATCAGGCCGGTTCGCTGGCCACAAGTGGGCATCACAGCGACCGGTCGTTCTGGTTGTTATGGTGTTGCGGTCGCTGGCCTTTTATACATATAGATATGTGTTTGCTTTGGCAAACATTTTCCGTTGTAACTGTCCTCCTCTCCGACCACAGTCCCGCCCTACCCTGTGGAGTGCGCTCTGTGAGTGGAGCGGGGAGCGGGGGCCCAGACGTAGGCGTAGAAACCAGGCAGGAGGCTGGGGCCTGGAGGCACACTGACCCTGGCCTGGCCTGAGCGCTCAGTGTGGGAACGGGCCTTGGAGCTCGGGCGCGTTCATGGGTCGGCACAGCGGCCTGATTCTCTCAGCGGAACGGGACTGGAACTCACCCAGGGGGAATTATTTTCCTGGGGCCTAAATTTAGTCCAGGGAGCTTGAACATTATGTCATTCCCTGAACTCACTCAGCAGTAAACAAGTTCAAAGCAAGGTCGACAGCTGGAGACCAACCGGCTTTGTCCCACAGGCAGCGTGCGCCCACCTGGGGAGGCTGTGTGTGGGGGGAGCTCTGGCAGCCCTTGGCAGTGGGCAGGTGGGCCTGGCCCGCTGTGAGGGTCCCGCCTGAACCACGCTGGGCACCTGGGCAGGACCAGGGGCCGGGGTGGCTGGAAGGGGACCCTGGTGTGGTTCCCACCTGGACCTGGAGAGCTTATGTGGGGGGAGAGTACGGGGGGTGAGGATGGCAGTTATGAAAGCAGGTCTTAACCTGGGATCGGATTCCTGCAATGGGCCCTTTAAAGGGAGATGCAGGCCCTGGCCAGGCAGCTCAGTTGGTTAGAGAAAGCAGGACGGGGAAGCAGCCAGGATGTGGCCCACACCTGGTCCTGCACAGCCCCGCCCTAGTGTCCCCCACCCCCACCCCCGCCCTCCCAATGGCTCACCAGGCCCTTCCTAGCGCCAGGCTCGCCTGGCCGAGCATTCTGCTCTCTCGCTTACTTTCCTGTAGTGACCCGACAAGAGAGGCAACTTCTATTTGTCTCGTCTCATAAACAAGGAAACAGGAAGGCGTGTAGGAGTGGAAACGGTCAGCCCAAGGCCACACAGCTGGCAAGCGCCGGCCCAGATGTGACCAGCTCGTCCTGAGTTCACGCGCCCTGGCTCGTGACCCTGCGGCGGACCGTGGGGGGGGACTCGCCGCCCAGCACCCAGCGAGGAGCGGCTGCACCCCAGGGGCCCAGGAAAGATCAAATTTTAAAAAGTACGGTTTCACCAAAACCGGTTTAGCTCAGTGGATAGAGCGTCGGTCTGCGGACTGAAAGGTCCCAGGTTCGATTCCGGTCAAGGGCATGTACCTGGGTTGCAGGCACATCCCCAGTAGGAGGTGTGCAGGAGGCAGCTGATCAATGTTTCTCTCTCATTGATGTTTCTGACTCTCTCTCCCTCCCTCTCTGTAAAAAAAAAAATAAAATATATTTTTTTAAAAAAAGTACGGTTTCTATTGAGTGGGTATGGCTTTCATTCATATCATCGTAAAGTCAACTCATTTGTAAATCAGGGCCCGTCTATATGTGAACATTTTCATTTAAAGGGGGTCCAGACACCTCAACATAAACAAACACAGACCCATGTAAACACACTTACATGTCCTCCACAGTCAGACCACTTCTTAACGCCTCCTCCACTCCCCCCTGGTGCAGCGCCACCCTCTCTCACCTGGATGATGGCAGCAACCCTGCCCCCCCCCCCCCCCCAGCAAAGTTCACAGTCAAAGTGATCCTTCAGATCTCGGAACGCAAGCTCCCAACGGCTCCCAGAGCACTTGGCATGAAAGTCAGGGTCTTCTAAGTGGCCTTCTGAACCCTGCACACGCCAGGCCCCGCCTCCTCTGGGGTCTCACTGTCTGAGCCACTCGCCCCGCCCGCTCTCCTCCAGCCACACCGAGCATGCACCTGCCTCAGGACCTTTGCACGGGTTCCCTCTGCTCGCAGTGCTCGCCCAGTTGTCCCAGGCAGCTTCCTCCCTCGCCTGATGAGTCTCAAATGCTGGGTGAGGCTTCCCCAGACTAGCGATTTAAAATCACAATATCCCCCATAAAGGGGCCAGACTCCCCATGCCCCTTTCTTACTTTATCATTCTCCAGAACACTTACTTTCCAGATGCTAGATTGTGTGATTTTTAAATTGCCCCCCAAGAACAGGAGCCCCAGGCATCACCCTTCTTCCAGGACCGGTGCATGGCAGGGCCTCCTTAAAGGCCTGTCATCGCCCTGGCTGGTTTGGCTCCGTGGCTAGAGCATCGGCCTGTGGACTGAAGGGTGCCGGGTTCAGTTCTGGTCAAGGGCACATGCCTGGGTTGCAGGCTTAACCCCCCGTGGGGGGCGTGCAGGAGGCAGCCAATCAATGATTCTCTAATTATCAATGTTTCTATTTCTATCTCCCTCTCCCTTCCTCTCTGAAATCAATAAAAATATATTAAAGAAGAAAAAAAAAGACCTGCCATTGCCTGCCTAGACAGAAGGCTTGACTGTCCGGATGGAGAGAGGGCCCTGAGCCCAGCCCCGAGGGCACGTACCTTCGGCCCCAGGGAGCTCCTTGCCCTCGGCCTGGGCCTCGTCGGCCTTGGTGTTGGTGCCCTCGCAGGGCACGGAGGGGTTGGCCTCCGGCGCGGGGCTGGAGTTGCTACTGTTCTCCTGTTTGATGGGGGAGGCGTCCGCTATGGAGCTCTGGTTGCTGTTGTCATCTGGGTGGGGGAACAGAAGCACAGGTGAGCTCCCGCAGCTGCTGGGGACGGCGGGTGGGGGGCTCAGCTTCCCCACGCCTCACTGCCCACAGGACGCTGTCCCAGGCAAGGGGACACTGGCCCCTCCGGAACCTCCGAGCTGGCACACCCAGTGCCCTCCCCCACGGGCTCCGGGAGCTGGGCGGCCCTGTCCCCACGCCTCACTGCCCACAGGACGCTGTCCCAGGCAAGGGGACACTGGCCCCTCCAGAACCTCCGAGCTGGCACACCCAGTGCCCACCCCCACAGGCTCCGAGAGCCCTGTGTTTGGAGGCAGCCAGCACAGAGGCCTGGCACATTTTAAGTCTCTGGGGGCGTCTGAGGCCTGGTTCTGGGTGAGGAGACCAGACATCGTGTGTGCTTGCCTCGGAAGTAACACGGAGGCCGAAGCGCAGTGCATGGGGCGGCGCTGCCGAAATGTTTCATCCGGTCTGATCGCGCCCCTAACTGACTCCCACTTGATCCGAAACAAAAGGGAGAGAAAAGCTACCCCACAAAGTGGGATATTCCACAGCACAGCCAGCCAGGCTCTGCTAGTCAATACCATGAAGGGGGAGAAGGATCAGGGAAGATTATTGTAGATGAAAAAGAAATTTAAGCGCTCTAACAGCTAAACATGATGTGAGAACATTATTTAAATCCTGTGTTGAACGTGCCAGTTGGTAAGAGACGTTTGGGGATGACTGGGGAATTTGAATACAGCCTTAAATCTAAAAGACATTAAGGAATTATTCTTAATTTTGTTAGGGTTGATAATGGTACACCGGGCACACAACATATCAATGTCATTCATTAGTGACGCGTGCTCAAATGTTCAGGTACAGACTTAAGTATCACGATGAAGGGAAATTTACTTTTAAAATGCTCTAGCCCTGGCCAGTGTGGCTCAGTTGGCTGGGTGCAGTCCTGTGCACCAGGAGGTTGCCGGTTCGATTCACAGTCAGGGCATATGTCCAGGTTGCAGGCTCGATCCCCATGTTGGCGGGGGGTGGGGGTGGGGGGAAAGGGGGCGTGAAAGAGGTAGGTGATTGATGGTTCTCTCTCCCTTCCTCTCTCTCTAAAATCAATTTAAAAATTAAAAAAAGAAATGCTCTAGCACAAGCTACATACCATTTTCAGAATTTCCTAAACTTTACTCTCAAGAGCTGTGCATTTTTGATATGCACATTGCATTTCAATCAGAAAAACGTTAACACATTTTTAACAACAGAAGAGGCAGAAATGTCATATGTCATTGGAAATCTAGGTGGTGGGTATATGGGGATGATTAGCAGTACTACTCTCTCCATTCTTCTCTCTTATGAAATTTTTCACAATAAAAAGAAAAGCATAACCAATGGACATAAGACACTGGGGGGTAGGGGAGGCCAGGGGATTGTCAAGGGCGGGAAAAAAGGAGACATATGTAATACTCTTTGTCATACTTTAAGCAATAAAACAATTTTTTAAAAAAAAAACAAGAAAAGGAAAGAAAGTTAATTGGGCGATGACATTGGTGGTTGAGCTGGTGGCAGACCTGGGGGTCCCGGGGCACATACACCCTTGCTTTGGATCCCCTTTCATGGGCACAGAGAGTCACCTTAAACTGCAGCTTTCAAGCAGTGATTTAAAAAACACGACTACAATCGCACGCTGCTTTTCTGGGCCGTGCCGAACACCTGGGACCAAGGCCATTTTTGTAAAAATTCGAGAGGGGAGATCCATTCGCCCGGGGCACCGACGACATGTCGGGCAGGAGGGGACCCCAGGGGGAGCCCTGGGGACATTCTGTCTTGATCTGGGCTAGCTCCATGGGCGAGTGCAGTTTGTGAGCGTTCCACGGAGCCACAGGCTTGGGATGTGTGTCCCTCCTCTCGGATAAAAAAGGAGCCCTAACTGGTTTGGCTCAGCGGATAGAGCGTCGGCCTGCGGACTCAAGGGTCCCAGGTTCGATTCCGGTCAAGGGCATGTACCTTGGTTGCGGGCACGTCCCCAGTAGGGGTGTGCAGGAGGCAGCTGATCGATGTTTCTCTCTCATCAATGTTTCTAACTCTCTATCCCTCTCCCTTCCTCTCTGTAAAAAATCAATAAAATATATATTTTTTAAAAAAATAAAAATAAATGAAAAGGCAAAAGGAGACATAAATGCCAGCGACGTCAAGACCACGGCAGACTGGCTAACGCGCGTCTCCCGCCTGGAAATGCTCGGTGGGACGCTGGTGACAAGCTTTGAAATAAGACAGCGAAGGAAGGAAGGCCGTCGATGTGGATTTACACGAAGCCAGAAACCCAGGGTGGAGCTTCCCAGTAGCCAAAGCGAAACAGGAAATACAACACAGCCATCTGTGCAGTAAGCCAGGCCTCGGAGGCAAAAAGAACATCTCCTGTGAGATTTCTGTCACTGGGTGAGAAGAAGGTCTTGACTTTATGTTCCTGGGCTTGCGGGGCTTGGAAAAGGAGTTCCTTCTCCTCCACTGAGCCTTTTCCTTGGCACAGAGGCCCAGGCCTGCCCGGCCCTCCTACCCCTTTGCCTGGAATGTGAACGAACCTGCTGGTGAAACAAAATACGACTGAGCTGCTTGGGCCCAGGGACCTGGCAGGAGAGGGCGGGCGGCGGGGGGCTCACCGTGCATGTCCATCATCCCCGGGGAGGAGCTGTTCTCCGGCGTGGTCACCTCCGAGCCACACTTCTCGTCTTTGCCCTTTTTCTTGTTCTTGTTTTTCTGGAGGAGGAAACGGAGCAGAAACGGAGTCACCAGGTCGCGTGTGTACGGGCAGGAGCGAGACGTGGAGGGTGCCATGAATGACTCCCCTTGGAGCCCCCAGGTCCCTGGAGGGCTCTCCTTGGCCTGCATTTGAACATGTCCCGTGAGGGGCCTCCCCTGCTTTGGAATCAGAGCCCTGCAGCAGGGGGTTTCTGGGGCTGGGATAAACACCCCCAGTGTCTGTGGGGCCAGCACCAACAGGCACGCAAACACCCTGGCTGGCGGGGGTCTCCTCTTCCTTCAGGGGGAGCGTCTGGGGGCCAGGCATGGTTACCCTCCCAGGGCAGGTACACTGATGCCAGGGGAGCCATGGGAAAACACAGATCTCACACACTCCCACTGTGGCCAGGCCCCAGGGCGGCCTCTCTCGGGCACAGAGGGAGACGAGGGGAGGAGGGCCAGGGGAGGGGGTGCTTTTGCGTGGGGTTCCACTTTTAAACCCGGAATGCAACAGTGTCGGAAGCGCCGTGTCCATCGGTAAGAGGCTCGTTAAATAAATGACCGTGCGTTCGTTCAGTGTCATGTGATGCAACAATTACAGAGCCAGGCGGCTCTTCATTTAATAACGGGAAACGATCTACGAAAATGCCAACACTGAACACATTTCAGTGTCTCCAGGACGTTTTTATATAAGAGGTGCGGGGTGGACTGCTGCCATTAACGGTGAAGGACAGAACAAGGACGTGAGCTGAGTGGGGTGGGGTCGTGCGCAGGGAAGGGAAACAATTTATAAAAAGACACACAGGAAAGCCCTGGCCAGGGAGCTCGGCTGGTTGGAGTGTCGGCCCACACACCGAAAGCTGACAGGCTCGATTCCTGGTCAGGGCACACGCCGAGGTTGTGAGTTCCATCCCCAGTTGGGGTGTGTACGGGAGGCAACCAATTGGTGTTTCTCTCTCCCTCCCTTCCTCTTTCTCTAAAATAATAATAAATAAATAAAAACCCCACACACATGTCCTCGGGTAAGGATTTAAAAAAAAAAGATACACAGACACCCCAGGACCTGGACATTACTGCTTCGTTGCAGGAATGAGGGAACTAAGGCCCAGCGAGGTGGGGTCCCCTGTCCAACATCACGGGTTCATCGGGGGTGCTCTGTGCCCAGCTGGAGCCGCCCCGTCCTCCCAACAGCCTGGATGTTGTGTTTTCTCCTTGATCGCGATCCATTTGGCACTTCCCTGATGTCTGTTCCGTGCTGTTCTATAATTATCCCCCGCCCCCCCCCCCTCGAGATTATAAATTCCTTGAGAGCAGGGACCACGTCTTCTCAAAGGCAACGGTGTTTATACAACACCTGACGGTGTGCAAGGCACAGGCGACGGCAGAGCCAGGGCTGCCTCTGAGGAGCCTGGTCACACCGCGTCTCCCTCCGGAGCGGCCAGCGCCAAATGCCGCAGTGGTCTAGGTCTCGGGGCCGCTGGGGAAGGCAGCTCTGGTGGTTCCTCGAACCCAGACCAGACAGAACCAGAAGTGACAAGCACCCATGTTCTCAGCCCAGCGCCCCTCCCCCCTGGAGACTCAAGGCTGGTAACCAAAGACAGCGGCTTTCAACCAGCCTTTCTGGCCCCCTCTAAACCTGCCAATCATGATCCTGTCACCTCCAGGAGCAAATGAAACCAGGCGGCTCCGTGTGAGCCACCTTCCTGGAGGTGGGGCCAATCACAAGAACGGGAAAGGCACTCCAGGCAGGAGGAACAGCCCCTGCAAAGGCCTGGAGGTGGGACAGTTCAGGATTTTGACTGGGAACTAGAGTAGCTGACCTGGGGTCTTTGGGAGCCCCTGGTCTCAGAGCCTCTAAGCTGAAAAACTGCCGGGAGGGGTTGTCATCATCCCTCCCTCCCTAAAATCAAGCACAGCCGCTGGGGCTCCCCCTGGTGGGCAGAGTCACCACCCCTCCTGGAGCAAAACTCGGGGGTGAGAACAAAAGGGTCTCCAGGGGTGGAGAGAGCATGGACCCCGGAGTCAAGACGGACGTGACCCTTGCTGTGTGACTCTGGGGAAATGGCTTCCCCTCTCTGAGCCCGTGTCCTCACTGGTACAGAGAAGACAGAGATCAACTCCACAGACTCAGCATGAGAAATAAAAGAGGTAATACCCAGTCTATAGTCAGGTGCTACAATGATGGGGAGCATCCGCCTGTCTGTGGGTACCCCTACGGCAGCCCCCTCATCATGGTGGCCGGGTCCCTGGGGAAGGGGTACCTCTGCACTGAGGTACCGTGGGGCTCTCTGCCCAAGAGGTGACATGAGGGGATATTCAGAGGACGGGCCTCATACTCACATCGTCAACCTTTGGCTCCGTCACAGGGACCCACTTGTAGATTCGCAGGGATGTGTCACCCACGGTCACCCACTTCTTCTCCCTGCGGAGGAGGAGGAAGAGCCCGTTACCAGGGGCTCTGGGGCAGGGCCCTGCTCCCCGCTTGTGGGGCCCTGACCGCACTCCCTCGGGGCAGCTGTGATGCGGTGGCCGCTCGGGGTTAAGGGGACAAGCGCGAGGTCATACAGATGTGGCTTGTATCCCATCTCGGCTGCTCACTGGGTCCCTGGGCAGGTCCCTCCCCGATCTGAGCCTCCGTGTCTCCATCTGCTAGACCCCGTCTGGTTGTCAGGCTCTCCAGGCTGCGTGAGGGCTCCCTCAGACTGTGTGTGTTCAAGGCTTCGATGCCTGGAAGGAAGTGCTTGGCAAGGCTGGGAGGCGGGAGAGCGGCTGCCATGAGGATGACTCCCCTGGACAAGGGGAACTGGGCCCCAGGTCCCTCCAGCTCCCCCCCCCCCCCCCCCCAGAGCCAGCAAGCTGAGCCAGCCAAGCCCCTCTGGGCCACAGGGAGGGCTTCAGGCCAGCCAGGTGTTTCCTCCTGGGGGTGGGGTCTGAGGTCGGGGGCAGCAGAGCAGGGGCACACAGCTGGACTAACCACCCCTCGCTCTGCCCTCTGGAGCAGCAGAGGGGGCAGGAGAGCAGGGGCAAACCCCAAGGGCAGGCCCCAAGCGCCGATACCGAGGGTCATAACAGGGAAGCCCAGCCTGGACCGTGGGCAGCAGCTGGTTGGAGAAATGCCCCGAGCCTCCCGCTGCTCCGTCCTGAGCCTGGCAGGTGCTTCGGGGCCTTGTCTCCGAAGGCCCCCGTCTGCACAGCTGCCCCTACCCCTGCCCGGCCGCATCCTAAACTCCTGGGGGACAGTGTCCGGGGCCCCTGCTGCCAGAGGCGGGCGTATGAGTGAAGAGGAGAAAATCGCCAGCCACTAGGGGGAAGAGGGGTCGCCGGTCTTCACGAAAGATAGTAACGACCCCCCTCTCCTCCCCAGCACTCTGCTCCAAGCCATTGTCATTCTTAAATTATTTTTCCACCTTGACCCCCTGCAGTCCATAAGCCAGGTCGTATCCCTTCCTGCCCCAAACCCCGGGAATGACCCGTCGGAGGGAGAGCTGGGATTCGAACCCGGGCACCATCTCGGGAGAAGTGGGAGGCTGGGGCCAGATGTACACCTGGAACAGGTGGCGTAGTTGCCAGGACCCTCAGCAATTCCGGTGACAAGGTTCCGCCAGAACCGAGGACTGTGCATGGGTGGGCACCTCTGTCCGTGGGCTGTCTAGCACCTTCTCCAACCTCCCTGCCCAGGTCTGTCTTGGGCCTTCCCCTCCATGTGGGGTGGGGGGACCTCACGTCACAGCCACCAGGCGCCCCCTTCACCACAGGGGGTTCTGGGTGCCCGAGCAACTCAAAACCACCTCCCCCAAACCACAGACACCTCTGCCCCCCACACTGTGGTGCGCGGGCCCCGCCGTTCCCTCTGGAGGGAGCGAGGGACCGTTTTACTATCAGACGAGTGACCTTTCTGGTATGTTTTCTGTGCTAAGCACGGGACACACTTGCTCTACTCCTCCCATAACCTTGTGTGGCAAGAACGGTCACCTTCCCCAGGTGGCGGGTAAAGAAATGGAGGCGTTCTCCCCAGAGCCGGTACTCAAACGCCTCCCTGGGGGCAGGATGGACCCTCCTCAGTCTGAGTCTTCCCCCACCTCCATCCTGAATAATCAGGAGGTGCCAGGAAGGGACAGGGGCGTTCCAAGAAACAGTCTCAGTGACAAAGCAGCAATCACAATAGCCATTGTGTGCCCAGGCCTCGTGCCAAGCCTTTTGTTTACATGCCCTCTCTCCCAGACATCGCCGGCAGGCCTATGAGAGGGCGACTACTATCACCCCACTTTACAGACGGGGAGACGGGCGGTCCGGAGCGGTGATACCACTAGTTCATAGTCACGTAGCCAGTCAATGGCAGAACCAGGACTGGACACAGGCTGTGACCCCAGAGGCCACCTTCCGTGCTTCTGTCTCCCGTGAAAAATGAAGAATCCATTCCACAGAGCACATCAGCAACAGATGCCAGGCAGAAGTGCCAACTGCTGGTACCTGTGCACATGACCAACGGCACTCACCGCTCACAAGCCCTCAACTGGCTGCCTGGGTCTGGGCTCCAGTAGGACTGCAAATCCACAGTTTGATCGTGTTAAAAACAATAACGAAAACACACAGCCGGTGTGGCTCAATGGCTGAGCACTGACCTATGAACCAGGAGGTCATGGTTTGATACCCAGTCAGGGCACATCCCGGGGTTACAGGCTCCCTTCCCAGTAGGGGGCGTGCAAGAGGAAGCTGATCAATGATTCTCTCATCGTTGATGTTTCTCTCTCTCTCTCCCCCACTCCTTTTTCTCTCAAGTCACTAGAAAAAAAAATTTTTTTTTAAAGGAATTGACTTGTAACACACAAGACACCTTTCAGATCTGGCCCCAGGAAAAGCCAGCCAACAGCCATGACCACCCTGGACCAGATCTGGGTTTGCCGGCCACACAACAGTGGAGATGAATCTTGGCAATGGCAGGTGCTTCTCAGAGAGGTCACAGGCCCTACAGGTGATGAGCTCAACACAACCAGGTGTCCCGATGCCCCAGCTGGCGACCCTTGGCCCGAGTCCCCAGGTCCCTGTGCTCCAGCTGCATTTCTAGGTGTGGACTCTGAGGGGCTACGGGACACAGGGTAGAGAGTTAAAGCCCGACCTCAGGCCTGCCATTCGGCCAGCGGCCAGCCAGGCAGAGACGGGGCCCTGGAGCTCAGGTGTGAGTCACTGAGCGAGGACCAGGGATGACGAGCAGGGATCTCATGGGCATGTTGCGTGAGCTCCGAGGGTCTCATCAAGCGGGTGGCTGGACAGCGCCGTGGGAAACACACCACATGGGCGCAGAGGAGCAGCGGAGCTCCCACTGCCGCCCCCAAACCCATCACCCCGGGCACACGGCCCCACCCCAATGAGGGTTCTAAGCTGTAGTCGTTACCTTACATCTCGGGTGGCAAATGAGTGGCCGACAGGCCGTTCTGTCCGGCCTGCACAGTGCTTTTAAAAATGTGAATCAGTTTGCCAAACTTTACAAAAAAGCAAAAGAAAAAAGTCAGACAACATAGAAATCCAGACTCCTGGCTACTCTCAAAAACATGATCTGATCACAAGGGGCCCACACACCCTCTTCCCCAGGGTCTGAGGCTCCCTCAGATCCCCCAGCTCTCCCCACCTGTAGACACCGGGCCCACCCCAACCTTGCCATGAAGCTGCCCCTGGGCGCACCGAACCCTCGTGCCTTGATGGCTCCCGGTAACCACATGCTTAAGGATCTGTCTTCCACCTCAGACTTGGGCTCCTGGGTTTAAAGACTAAGTGAGGTCCTAGCTATAGAAGCAGAGCCCCTCTTCAGCACGGGCTCCTATATAAACTACAAGTACCCACCCAGAATCTCCGGCCAAGGCCAATTTCCAATGTTCTCCCAGGACCAGTTCCACGGGCAAGACTATCTTGGGGTCACTTGGCTCCCTCAGTGAGAGCTCTAAAACCCTCACTTTGTGTTCATTTCCCAGGGCTGGTCCTCGATGCCTTGGGAGGCCTGGCTGACGGCTGCCCTTACCTTCACTGGGCTGAGAGTCACTTGGCCTGCCCTGTGTCTGGCAGGAGGGCACCCTCCCGGGTTCCGAGGTGAGGCCCTAGGCTCCCCACCCCAACCCCCTCAGGGACAATGGGAAATCCTTGGGAACAGGCCTGTCTCTGTCGACCACAAGACACTGAGGGACCCTCAGACCAAAGGCCCAGGGGGTCCCCAGCCTAAGCCTACTTCTCAGCCCAAGCCTTTGCCTCCTGCTCTTCTCCACCACACCAGGCCTCCTCACCTGGCCGAGTTTCCGGAAAGGGCCCCCCCACACACACACATTGTCCTTCCCTCAGCCTTCTCTGGCTGCCTCACACTCTACCCGCCTGCCCTGCTGGGGCACCAGACAGGAAGGAGAGGCTCAGCAGCTCCGGACAGGCTGGTCACGGCTGGTGGCTGGCTTTTGTGGGGACAGGGGTGGGGGTGGGGGCAGGGGAGGGCTGGCAGAGGGGCCTGGGTGGGGTTCCTGGGGCTGGGGAGAAACACCACCCTAGGCTTCCACGCTGACTGGCATGCCAGACGTGACCACCTTTATCCTCTGGGTAAAATACAGACTGCTGAACCGCATTTGAATTTCAGATAAACAATGAATAATCGTTTTTGTATAAGTATGGCCCAAAAGAGTGCACGGGACATACTTACGATGCAGAGAAATACTTTAAAAAGTTATTTTTGTTGTTTACCTGAAATTTAAATTTAACTCAGTGTCCATGAATTTATTTGCTAAATCTGGCAACCCAGCCTCCCAGCCAGCAGTGACTGCATGGTAGGTGGCCACGCAGTTAATAAACAACCCAAAGGCTGCAGGACGGACAGACGGGAAGACCCATCCTAAAGGCAGCGTGAAGGTGAGATTCGGCTTCTCCAGGCAGGGGAAACCCAAGACATAAGGCAAAGTTTTGTATGTTGTTTTTTTGTTTGTTTGTTTTTGCTTAGAAGGGGCAGGAAAAAAAGAAAGAAAAAAATCAGCAAAATGTAAGTTTCTGTGGAGCCCACCTTACCATAAAGACAACATTTAATGGCGGCTCCTGTGTACAGGGACGAGTGCTGGTAGAAACATGATCTTATTTTTTTGGGGGGGGGGGGTAGGGGGAGGAGGGGAACAGGACCCCAAAGCCATGGTTAGAGAAGTTACCTGGTTTATCTAAGGCCAAACAGAAAGTGAACTGGCTGCTGGGCCCTGGGGTCCCAAAGCCTGAGGTCTTTAGAGGACATGACAAGTTGTTTCCCAAAAGGAGGGAGGAGATCCGTTCTCCTCCCCTCCCCGCAAACACAGGCCTGGCCCTCAGTGGGGCCCGCGGGGTGGAAAACCCCATCCTTCCATCTGCCCTCCCTGCAGAGCAGGTGGGAGGCGGCCGGGCAGGAGCAGCTGTCTGGGTGCAAGGCCTCTGCCTCACTGGGAACCTGGGGCGGAGGCCCCACCACGCCTCCTGGAGCAGGGACTGTGGGGTCGCTTGCCCCCAGCCCCTTGCTCAGCTCCAGGCCCAGACACCCGTCCGTCTTCTTTGCCCAGGAGCTCAGGGGACCACTCCAGCCTTCCCTCTGGGAATCCCACCGGGGAAGGGGCCGTGTGGGCTTGCTCTCCTGTGTGTGTTTTGGCCTGCAGCTGTTTCTGCCATGTTTAAATGGCTCCAGTCGGCCTGGGGGGTGCCGGGCGCGCTAGGGGAGCTCCCACGGCTCGGAGGACTTGGATCTCAACTTTGGAAAGCCTCCCCTTCTCACGGTTCTGAAAATTCTTTGTCCCACTGGAGCCAAACCCAGCCCTCCGCCGGGCATCCGGCCATCTGCAGACAGCCCTTTCCATAGGAGGCCCGCGAGCACGTGGACCTTATTGATTTTCCTCTTGCCTTTTTTGTTGGGGTTGACTCGGAAAGGACAGCTAACTTGCGACCCGGCGAGACTGGATCCTCGCCCCCTGTGGTTTTTAGAGACCGAGGCGTTACTTAAGAAATGACACCCCTAAACATAAACACAGCCCGCCAAGGGGGGTGGGGGTGGGGGAGCGGGTGGGGGTGGGGCAACCAATTCTCATGCTTTAAATAAAGGGTCCGGACCAGCCCGCCGGCGCTGACACGTGAGAGCATCGCGGCCGCTCCTCTCCCTCCCTGACCCTGGTGGAGCCGTGGGAAAAAAAATAATGAAGTTGAAATCCGGGAGCTGCGAGTTTTCAACAAGTCCGCCTCGACCCGGCGACCTGGGCGCCCCAGGCCCGGCCCGAGGGCCGGTTCCGAGTCCGACCCCCCAGACGCCGAACAAGCGTTCAGTCTGTTCAGTACAACGAGGCTCAGCCGGACTCTCTCTCGCGAGCCGCAGAAACACGCGCGGCCAACCCCGGTCCCTGGTCCCCGCGCTCGGAGAACAAAACAACGGCTCCCTCCGCAAAACAAACACGAGCTGCTGGTTTGGGGGAGGCAGACGCGGCCCAGGACCGGTTTCTGGCAAAAAAAACACACACACCACATTCGCTCGCCCAAGCCCCGCGCCTGGGTGCCGAGCGGAGAGGGTGTAGGGGTGCCCCGCGCTCCGGGCCCCGCGGCGCCCCCTCCTCGCGCTCGCCCCCATCTTGCTTCCCCGCCAAGAGCCCTCGCTCCAGGCAGCCCAAAGCGCTAAATTTAAACGGCTCGCGCTCTGCAAACTCCGCAGACTCGAGGGCGCCGGGCCTGGGAGGCGGGGAGCGGGCGAGCGAGCGAGCCAGCCGGAGAGGGAGCGAGGGAGGGAGGCCCGGCGCGGGCAAGGGCGCGGGGGCCGGCGCTGCGCCGCCCGGGGCGCGCGGGGAGGAGACGGAGACGGCGGCGGCCCGCTCGGCGCTGCACAATGGAGCTCGCGCTCTCCCCTCCGCCGCCGGCATCGCGGCTCCGGCGCGCGGGAAGCCGCTTTCATGTGACTCGCACAAAACGAAATGGCTTCTGGGGCCGGCCCCGAGCTCCCCTCCCGGGAGCCGAGCGCCGCGGCGGGGACTGCCCGCTGCTCGGCCGCCGGCCCGGGGAGCCCCCGCCTCCGGGCTGCCGCCGCCGCCACCGCCGCGCCAGGTGGGCGACCGGCGCGAGCGCACCTGGGCAGCGGCCGCGGCCCCCGCCTAGCGCAGGTGACCCGGCTCGCGCGCCGCCCGCCCCCTCCCAGTCCCGGGCCGCGGGCGGTCGGGGCGCAGCGCCCGCCGGCTTTTTGTATGTGGTCGGGGGTCGCGCGGCCGCGGCGCCGAGCGGCGCCTCCGCTTACCATTTGCGCACTTTCTCGATAGCCGCCATGACCCTCTTGATATCATCTTTGGCCCGACTCCTGGTCTCGGCTCGAACTGACCTGCCCGACATGGTTCTGGCGGGGAGAGAGAGGCTGCGAGCGCGCCGCCCGGTCCTGCTCGCGCTCCGCGGCGGCCACACTCGCGCCCGCCCGCCCGCCCGCCGCTCACTCACTCTCACACACACACACTCTCTCTCGCACACTCACGCACACTCACACACTCACACTCACTCACACACACATACACACACACACATATACATACACACACAACACACACACAAAGCCGGGGCCACCGCGCGCCCGGGCCCAGTGCGCAAGCGCCGGGCGGCAGCTGCACCGAGCAGGGGGAGCAGCGCCGCCGCGGCCGCCAGCAGTGCGGCCTCCGGGCGCCGCCGTCGCCGGGCCGCCAGCCTCCTACCCACTCCGGGGAGGCGGCGAGGGGCGCCCGGCGACCCGACGGGGGTGGGGGCGGGAGCGCGGACACTCACCCCGAGGCCGCGGGTTCCCCGGGGGAGGGCGGGCCAGCCGCGGAGGGGGCGCGTTCCTTGGGAGCCAGCCTGGCGGCCCGTCCGCCGCCCGGGGTTTGCGGGTTTGCGGCAGCGGGTGCAATAACGCAAGTTTCCTGCGGGGCTCTCGACTTCGCGGAGTTGCAGGCAGCGATCGGAGTTGCAGGCAGCGGTCGGGGACGCGAGGTGATCCTGGAAAGAGTGGAGAAACGCTCTGCCCCGCGTAAACACGCGCGCTAGGACGTCGCTTCCCTTTCCTGCGTCCTTTTGGAAAACTGGGGTCAGAGGAAAGGTGCCTGGGGCGGGGCAGACACTCGCCCCTGCTTATTCAACGGCTTCCAGCTGGGAAAGTTCAATGACGATCCGCATTTTGGAGGGCGCTTGAGCTTGTTTCTTCCCCGTCCTGCCCCAGGGTAGTTCTGGGGAGGAATCTGCAGTTACCAGGACAACCCAGGTGCCACATCTTTGTTCAGGTGCAGCTAAACCGATTTGACCAGAGATAATTCACGCCCAGATGGATGCTGGGGAAAGTGGGAGTGACCCTGCCAGCAAGCTCGGGGTCTTGGAGATAAACTATTCCAGTACCTGGGGAAACTAAGTCACCGGGAAGTTCAAGGTCATAGCCATATGTTAGATCTTTGGCTCCCACTCACTCTGGAACCAATCAGTTTGCCCTGATTGGTTTTGATTTGGGGCAGATGAGCTACCGGCTAACGGGCTGAGGGACTGCAGTGCAGGCCTTTTTCTAGGCATGTCTTTCTACCATTCTGAACCTCAAGTTCCTAATGTGAAAAGTGAATAGAACACCAGCCTGAGACTCATTCTGAGGACATTCCTAACAGCAAGTCCTAATGTAGAGGTCTCATATTGCCAGCCCTGACCTCACATGCAGAGGTCAGGTCAGCAGATAGGTGCTTAGGCCCACACAGAACTGCTATATATATATATATGGACTAGAGGCCCGGTGCACAAAATTCGTGCACGGAGGCAGGGGGAGAAGGGTCCCTCAGCCCGGCCTGCACCCTCTCGCAATCCGAGACCACTGGCTCCTAACCACTAGCCTGCCTGCCTCATCACCCCTAACCACTCGCCTGCCTGCCTGATCACACCTAATCACTCACCTGTCTGCCTGATCACCCCTAGCCACTCGCCTGCCTGCCTGCCTGCCTGATTGCCCCTAACCACTCGCCTGCCTGCCTGATCACCCCTAACTGCCTCTGCCTCGGCCCCCACCACAGTGGCTTCGTCTGGAAGGTCCTTCAGCTATCTGGCCTAATTAGCATATTATGCTTTTATTATTATAGAAGATAGCACATCAGAAATCCAAATACCAATGGATTAATGCATGTATCTATTCAGCCGTTGAAAAAGGAGTGAAGTACTGACCCATGCCACAGCGTGAATGAACTTTGGAAACATGCTAAGTGAAAGAAGCCAGACACGATAGGACAAAGACTGCATGATTCCACTCACAGGAGATATATCCACTAGACAAAGCCACGGAGACAGACAACAGATTGGTGGTTGCCAGGGGCCACGGGAGTGGGGCGTGACTTCCAGTGGATACGGGGTTTCCTTTGGGGGTGATGAGGAAGTCCTGGATGAGAAGGTTCCAGTGGTGGTTGCTGCACACACTGTGAATGTACCTAATGCCACTGAACTGTACACTTTAAAATGCTTACCTCTCACAACGGTCCATTTACTACAACAAAAAGCAACCCAAATATCCACCTAACACCTACATAATTCGATTAACCAATGTCATCCCAATAAATTTAATAAAAAAGAAAAAACTTTTTTTTTGAACATGGAGCCTTTTCTAGAAATAGCAGAAGATGTACAATCTGGGCCCCCAGTGCCAGTGGCCACGACCACTAGGAGCCGAGGAGCCCTGTGCCCTCAGAGCTCCCCAGGTCACCAGCGCGTCACGCCCCTTCACTCACTTGTATTACCAGGTGGCCCTAAGGGAACTGGTTTTTATCTCTGATGAAACTGTAAAGCTTTCTTTATAAATCCAGTATGTCCCTTTTTATCGTTTCCTGTCCCCTTGCAGACACTTTAAGGCGTCTTTCTTTCATCAAAGCACAGTTGTTTTATAGTCTGTGTCTGATAAGTCTAAGACTTGAAGTGTCTGAGGGCCTGTGTCTGCTGGTTCTTGCTCATGGTGTCCTGTTTCCTTGTGATCCACCTGGTGCTCCTTGACCACGCTGAACACTGGACTTTAAAATGTATTCCTAGGGCCAAAACTGGTTTGGCTCAGTGGATAGAGCGTCGGCCTGCAGACTGAAGGGTCCCGGGTTCGATTCTGGTCAAGGGCATGTACCTGGGTTGCGGGCACGTCCCCAGTGGGGGATGTGCAGGAGGCAGCTGATCGATGTTTCTCTCTCATCGATGTTTCTAGCTCTCTATCTCTCTCCCTTCCTCTCTGTGGAAAATCAATAAAATATATTTAAAAAATAATAAAAAAAATAAAATACTTAAAAAAAAATAAAAAAATAAAATGTATTCCTAGGGATCACTGGAGGCCCCGGGTGACATTACCTTCCTTGAGAGATGCTTTATGTTTGCTCTGCCAGGCTCCTGAGGACATGGTTAGTCCAGGATGACCCCCATGCAAGTTCAGGACTGGTGGGTCCCTGGACCACCCAGGCGATGCCAATAGAGGTTGTCCAATTGAGCAACCTAGTTTGCCCCTGAGGGTTGGGTCCCTGGTGTGGGGCAGCTGGCTGATAGGCCTGCACTTCCCAATTCTGTGTTCAGTGACCTCCCGTGGAGAGTTTGGAAAGGCCATGGCAGCTGGCGGGAGGAGGGGGAGATGCATTTACACCATGGAAATTGGCAAAAGCTCCATACACATCAGGACCCTTTCCCCAGCCCCACCCAGAGCGGGTTGGTAAACATTTACCAGGACACCAATGGCAGAGCTTAATGAGGTCCAGAAATACTGTGGGGAAGGTCTCCCCCAAAGAGTGAGTCTCAAAAAGATGATGAGTTTCAAAAAGACTGGGGAGCCTTGGGGGGAAAAAGCCTTTTTGATAAACCAAACACTGAAATCTGCCTCTCAGTATTTTTTCTTGCCTATAAGCACAACTGTAAAAACTCACAGCTCAGATGCTAGTGGATCGGCAACTCGCATATCCATCGACGCAGCCATTGGCTTGCCTGAAAGTTGGGCCACTTTAAGTCATATGAAAATAAAGAGATAGCCCTGGCCAGTGTGGCTCAGTGGATAGAGTGTCGGCTTGCCAACCAAAGGATCCCAGGTTCGATTCCCGTCAAGGGCATGTACCTTGGTTTCAGGCTCCTCCCCCGCCCAGGCCCTGGTCAGAGCTCATGCCCGAGGCAACCAATGTGTTTCTCTCACATCCATGTTTCTCTCTGTCTTTCCCTATCTCTTCCACTCTCCCTAAAAATCAATGGCAAAATATCCTCGAGTGAAGATTAACAACAACAAAAATAAATAAAAAGAAAATAAAGAGACAGTACACATGAAGTGTTTTGAAAGACTAATGTGTTCAAAGGCGAGCCAAGGTCATCGAGACACTCCTCTAACGATAAATGATTAAGCGCAGACGGTGGGGTCATGACCGTGGGACCCGGGGAAAAGTGGGAACCCGTCCACCAACGGGCTTGGGGACTTCCCGGGTCAGGCATCTAGGAGGCTGCCCAGGCGTCAGCTGCTTCACTCCCAGGGGTGCAGTCGTTTTGGCTGCCCGGCATCTGAAGTCTCCCCACCCCCCACTACAGAAGCTAGAGGGGGCCTGTTTCTCTCTTCACCCAGGGAATTAGGTCCTGGGCATTAGCCAGTTGGTGGATGGTCTAGCTGATTTTTTAAAAATAATAGCATTGTTGCCTGGCCAGTGTGGCTCAGCGGTTGAGCATTCACTTCCCAGTCAGGGCTCATGTCTGGGTTTCGGACTCAATCCCCCCAGTAGGGGGCGTGCAGGAGGCAGCCGATCAATGATTCTCTCTCATCATGGATGTTTCTCTCTCTTTCTCCCTCTCCCATCCTCTCTGAAATCAGTAAAAACACACATATATATTTAAAATAATAAATAGCATTGTTGAAATATAATTAACATACCATAAAACACACCCTTTTAAAGTGGTTTTTACTATGGTCATTGGGTTGTGAAGCCATCACCACAACCCATTTTAGAATCTTTTTGTCATCCCAGAAAGAAACCCTCCACTTACATTAGCAGTCAGTCTTCCTCTCCCCTCCCCAGTCCCAGCCACCAGGAATCTGCTTCCTGTCTCTATGGTTTTGCCTATTCTGGACATTTCACATAAAAGAAACTGTACAATATGTGTCCTTTTGCATCTGGCTTCTTTTTACATCCTGAATGCCTTGTCTCTTATTGTAATCCTTCCCCTCTCCCTGAACAGTCTCCTCACTCTTGTCCCTTTCCCCAGACACACCCTCCTGCCCATCACCCAGTTCTATGCCTCTAAGCTGCAAACTTATTCCATTTCGCCTTCATTTAAATAGTCAAGTTTAACCTCCTTGATTCAGCACACAAGGCCATCCATAATGTGACCTCTGCCTTCTCTGGCCATCGCCCCCAGGCACCCCTCAGATTGGCTTGGAGTGCCTCACTTATGTAATTTCTCCTCTGCCTTCCCTGATCCCCTCCCTCCCACCATCTGCTCTGGATGCCCCTATATCATGGCACCAGATGTATAATTATTGACGCTTCCCTCGCTACAATGTAGCCTTCTTAGGCACAAGAACCAGGCCTCGCGCCACAGTGTGTCTCAGCTTAGCCATTGTGCTGACACTGGGGTCACTATCAGAGGATCTCTGGGCCGCACTGGGGAGGGGGAGTGGCCAGCATTTGCTGGAGCTTTACCGCAGCAAGGCTGCCTTCTGGGATCGATCACCAGGGGATTCGGGCAAATGCATAAACGTGATCGCGAGTGAAGGGGCAACGAGATCATGGAGAAAACCGTGCTTACGTGTTTAAAAAACATTGGGATCCCTAGAAAATTAAGAAGACGACGACATGCCAACTCAGGGCTGAAACCCACTGTGAGCATTTCCACCTTGCGCCGTGGTGGCATGAGAGAACAGCCGCGCCGGGGCCGGCTCCACGCCTGACGCGACGTATGTGTGGCTCCTGGCTCCGAGGCACACTGTGCCCCCGTCTGTCTGCAATGTTCTCCCCGCTCCCTTGCCACGAGGGCTGTCCGCTTCTCTGCACCTGGGACCCGAGGTTCAGCACC